ACTTGAAAAATTAGAGTTCTTTCATATCTATTCTCATTGATTCTATGTCAGTAACTACCAGGGTAGCAGTCCCCAGATTATGCCATTTGGGAATACTACATTCCCTTGTGAGTGCATTAGAGTAGGATTATAAATTAGGAGACATCCAGACAGTCACTGTTTATTTTCCACGGCCGGGCTCATCTGTGATGCTTGTTGCTGTGCATGCCTCTAACCACTCATGTATGTTTATACTCAGAGTCTTTTCTTGCTACAGTCATCATTCTGTAAGATGTAACACTATTCCTATATCATGATGGCTAACCCTCTTCATTTGTCTGGCATATGTTGTGTAATATCCTGTAATCTGCAGTTCAATGTTTTAAAGTTATGAGAAAAGTCACTTTCTCCATTTGCATATTTATAGACATGCTCACCTTGAGACATGTTTCCTTCTATTCTGCATGAGCCAGCGGGAAAACTTCTGTTCTGTAATGTAGCCCTAATAGTAATGACGTGTAAATGATCTCTCAGGTAAGTCTTTATAATACCCGTCATAGATAAGGCAGCAAGGTCCAACTTGTGGCTTGTTCACTCCCTTCAAGAATGATACTTACTGCTGGGCGGTGGTGGCGCACGCCTTTAATCCCAGCACTCGGGAGGCAGAGGCAGGCGGATCGCTGTGAGTTCGAGGCCAGGCTGGACCGACAGCCTCCAAAACAATACAGAGAAACCCTGTCTCGTAAAAACCAAAAAAAAAAAAAAAAAGAATGATACTTACTAGTTTGCAGTGAATTGTGTTTTAAAACGAGACAAGGGTCAAATAATGTGGGAAAAACAATGTGCACCTTGAAATTCTTCGTGCTGAGGTTGGTGTCTTCATCTACACACACAGAGGATTCTTGGCTGCCTCTCTGATCAGTATTTTGGTGTTCCCATTGTGTTTGGGAAAGGAACAGGATGTTAGATGAATTCCAAAAGACCTGATTTCCAAGAAATTGAGCTTCCTAATTTAGCAGCTGGTCACACGGTGCGGTGCCCATCATTGTCCCCAGGTTCGCTGTAGGGAGGCAGGACCTGTTTCCAAACAGACTCAGTCTTCATGCCAGATGACCTGCAGTGTAGCAAACTTAAGAGCAACAGTTACTACAGGCTCAGCACAAGTTCTGTTTCCTCAAATGAGAAAGAAAGGTACATTTGAGCATTTCTACTGGTAGGCATCACTGCCATTTAGGCTTGGGAATACTAGTGGGGGTTTCGGTGGGAGAGTGAAGCTGTTGCCCAAAATGCTTACATTTCCTATGGGAAAACTGCATGAGACTTAGAGAACAGCGTGCTAGCAGAGCACCTAATGGCCAGCCGGAGATGTTCCTTTGAAACCTGCAACCCTGGGGCTGCTTACTCATTACCAATGGTATTCTTGTTCATGAAGCCCTTGAACAGCTGACTTCTTCTTCACGCGTTTCCTTGTTCCTTTTTCATCATAATGTTCCTGAGAGCTGAGGGGTAGTGTTTCCTCTAGCCATTTCACCATCTTTTCTAGTCCATTCAAAATCCTCTTCGGTTTGTGCCCAAGTAAACCTACTTAGCACTGTCAGTTGAAGGTTGTGGCTCTTCTACAAGAGCACTGACCAAAAATCCACTCCTGTTATTGTGTGTGTGTGTGTGTGTGTGTGTGTATTTGTACATTACATGTGCAGTGTATGTGCACATACCTGTGGAGCTACACAGGTCTACATTTGAGCATGTAGGGGTCATGGAAACACCTGGAATGTCTTACTCTCTTCTTCTCCCGTTAGTTTTTAAAACAGGGTCTATCCATGAACTTGCAACTCAACATTTTGTTTAGACAGCCTGGCCAGTGAGCTCCTGGAACCCATTTGTCTCTTCCCTCAAATGCACACACAGCCATATCTGACTGTTTCGTGGGTGAATAGGATTTGAACTCAGGTCCTCTTCTTTTAAAAATGAGTGTTCTTACTCACTGAGATATCTCCTCAGTCCCCAATCCAATTTTGAAGAGCTGATAGAATATTATGTTTTGTTTTTTAACAGTGTTTCCTTTTCATTCCTTTGTAACTATAAATGAATATGAATGAATATGCAGGTTCTAAGGTTAGACATCCTGATTCCTGGCTTCCTGTCTCATCACCCACAGTGTTGCTCTGTAAGCTTGACCGAGTTGTTAAACCTTTAGTGTTCTCCACTATGAAGTAACATCTTACTATGTCACCCATCTCTCTGGTCCTTGTGAGTTTAGTGGCACAGACACAGCTTAGCTCAAGAACTAGTTCCTTTGAGTGCAGCTATTTTCATTATAAACTCAAATGCAATAAACAGGATGGAGCCTTTCCTTTGTAGTTATTCCACTTCTTCACAAGTCTCATGTACTAAAAATATACAGCATGCATTTTCACACATTTATCCCTTATTAACAGCTGAAGTGACTGTTTGTGAGGATATTTGATAAATCTCAGTGAATTCTACCACACCCTTTCCAGTTGAGTACTGTTAACCTTAGCCTGTTCTAGTGTTGTCTGTATTTTATCAAGTTTATTTTTTAACATTCATTTTGTTTTTAATTATGTGCAAATGAGTGTGGATGTTTACATGTGAGTGCATTGGTAATAGAGTCCAGAAGAGGGTTGTAGGTCCCTGGAGCTAGAGTTACAGGTAGTTGTGAGCTCCGTGATGTGGATACTGGAAGCTTAACTTGGACCTTCTGAAAGAGCAGAGTGCTAGGTCATTTCTTCACCTTGCATCTCCTCCAGTTAACACAGGATTTATTGCTGTTATTGATAGTGGTGGTGATGGTGGTGGTGGTGGTGGTAGTGATGGTGGTGGTGGTGGTAGTGATGGTGGTGGTTGTGGTGGTGATGGTGGTGGTGATGGTGGTGGTGGTGGTGGTGGTGGTGGTGGTGGTGGTGGTGGTGGTGATGGTGGTGGTGGGAATGGGGGTGGTGATGAGTGATTTTCTTGTTTGGAGTATACCTCTCCAACTGTAGGCTGGCCATTTAAGCTGGGTGCAGGATACATTTTTGAAATAACTTAGAGGCCGTTTCCATGAAGCTCTGCATACAGATGACTCTTTAAACACTGAATGTAGTTTTGTCATCGGCCCCTGTCTTTCATTTTAGTGTTTGTGTCTGCAGTAGTTCTCTCTTAGAGATCCTTACTTGGCATCACTTAAAAATTCCTCATTATTTTATTTGTGTCCTGTGCAGACACTTGACTTAATGAGTGTCTCTCCAGGATCCTGAAGTGTACAGTATCTGCGCACACATCTTTTATCCAGGTCATATGCTCTAGTGCAGTTCAGTCTGTTTATTTCTAATATGTCTGTTTCAGGTTAAAGCAGCCGTGACCTAGAAAACAAAAGCTTGGTGGCACTGAAACTATAATAATTTCTTGTCAAGATTTCTATGTATCCTTTGATTTACTTAATTAGCATAAGAGAACTATAGAAAGCTAGAGGAAAAAGCAGAATAGAAATGCTGCTTATGATATTTATTTATTTTTAAAATGAGATCATATTAGGACTTTTTTGATGAGAGAGATGATTGAAAGTTGGTGGCAGTTTTCCTGGCTATACTAAAGGTATGGTCAGCACTGATGTTGTGTCCGGACTGTCCCAGATCCTGGGTGAGCTGCTTTGTGTCCTATTACCATCCTAGCACTTATATTGCTGGCAGGGCTGCTCTCAGCCATCCTGCCAATAGAAGGCAAACTGGTGCAATCAATAAGTTATTGTCAAGCACAAGGCCAGGTGAGTTGCCCCACAATAAAGCAAATCATCCCTAAAAGGGATCCTTGTATATGTAGCTGCTGTGTCCTCCTATTAATTCTGAATATCAAAGGTTATTGCCATAATTGTCCTAATCACACCATAAAATTCAGATGTTTACTGAATGAACTGAGTGCCTTGGAAATAGATAAAGGAATCAGATGTGGAACTGCTTGCTGATGTTTTTAAGCAATAGAATTAGGGCATGTAAGCGTGTGAAAACCTAGCATCTCCATTATTAGGCTTAGTCTCAAATTAAGAAGATAACTCTTTAAATGCTAAGCGTAAAATTCTGATTCCCAAAGTCCTAATAAGCCTGACAGCTAAATAAAGGCTTTGCCTTGATTTGAACATTTCTACATGCCTATATTTCAGCTGATTGTGAGACCGTAAAGCTTCTAGACTCTGTTTCGACACTCATTGTCCCTCTCTGTCTATTCCCTTGGTGACCTAGAAATCAGAAAACAAGGCTTGATTGTCACAGTTGCAGGGTCACCATAGTAACAGCGGATGCTAAAGCTAATTCAGGGTATCAACCTTGCCATATGAGGTTTTGATTCAGTTTTTTGCTATCAAAAATCATTTTAAGGACATTAGTGAAAGCATGTAAATTATGTCCAGTAACATGCAAGTATGGTTCAGTTTCATATGCTGTTAAAGCCCCAACACATTCTGTTCTCTGTACCTTATTTTCTTCTTTTTTCTAAAGTTTAAGGATTTTCAAACAGAAGAACCCTCATTGATCTGAGAACCTATTCTTCTATTCACTTGTCTATTTCATTTTTTTAATTTTTTGTTTCTTTTTTTTGAGATAATAGTACAATCAGAGCATTTCCCCCTTCCCTTACCTTACTGTGAACTCTTTCATTTGTCCCCGCCTTGCTGTTTTTTAAATCTATGGCCTCTTTTCTCATTAATTGTTGTTGCCTATGTATGTGCATATATATGTATATGTTCCTAAATACATGAGCTTTTAATGGCGCTATTGCCTTGAGAGCTTGAGTGTAGATTTAGCAGGGTGATTGAGAGTAGAACCACATTGTTGAACCTTTACTAAGACACAAGCACAGCCGTGTATTTCCTTGCAGCACTCATTAGTCAGCTGCTTTCAGAATCTCCCATGTTTCTCTTTTTTCTAGTGAGGACTAGTTGTCGTCAAAAAGAATCCTCAGATGAGACTTTCCAAGAGAGGCGTGGCTTATGATGTTGATGTTTTCTTCTCTCCTCTTGTTTATAGAGCCAAACTTTGTGTCTTCCTATGACATTGGCAATTTCACCTACTTCTTCTTCCGAGAAAATGCTGTGGAGCACGACTGTGGGAAGACTGTGTTCTCCAGGGCTGCCCGGGTCTGCAAGAACGACATTGGGGGGCGATTTCTCCTGGAAGACACCTGGACCACCTTCATGAAGGCTCGCCTCAACTGCTCCCGGCCCGGTGAGGTGCCCTTCTACTACAATGAGCTGCAGGGCACCTTCTTCCTACCAGAGCTGGACCTGATCTATGGCATCTTCACCACCAACGTGTACGTAGTTGTAGCCAACCTGCTCTCTCTCTCCCTTCTCTTCCACTTTTCCTGAATGAGTCTTTTGTTCTTGGACCTCTGGGGGTTTAAAGTTGCCTTAGAGAAAGTTTTTCTTATTTTCCTGGGCTACCAGCCAAAGCACAACAGAAAGAGTCTTTTCAGCATGAATTAAATGTTAAGTACAGATACATGCTTTGTGGGACTTACTTCAGGAAAGCTAATTCAAAATATTTTTTATTTGTCCTCAGGAAAAAGTAGTATCAAATTATTGTATTATGAATTGCTCTTTGCTTGTGAAGTGCAGATACATGTTAGATGCATTTTTTTCTGTAGGAAAAGCCATACATTTTTGCATAATAAAAATAGCATTGTCTGGAAAGGCTAAGCTTTGCAATCACATCATTCTTGCCTGGACCTCTGCGTTTACTTGCAATGCAATTGCTGTTTTCCCCTCTTAGTACCTTGTGTTTTCTTGGGAAGATGCTCCTAGCCTCAACAACAGACATTGTATGATTTAGCAAAGCTTGGGGAGTTTCCAGAGCTCTCATTCAGTCTTTCCTAAGTGGACTGTCTCAGGACCCTGCATTGACTTCCAAGGCCTTGGCTATTCTACTGTGAGAAAACCTCCCAAGAGCATCTCCTGACTGTCTGGGAACTAGGGACCATGTGGGGATGCTGGGATGTACTCCTCTGTTAGCAGTGCCACTGTAGTTCTACAGTACAGGTTCCAGTTTGGAGAACCAACCTAGAAACCCAAAAATTTAGACAAAGGTTAAGCAATCCTTTCCATTTATTAATTATGAAACTGTTGGCCATTGGCTACGATTTCTTATTGGTTCTCTATGACTTAATTATTAACCCATAACTGCTAATCTAAGTATTTCCCTGTAGTCTTCTCTTACCAGAGAACAGTCCAGGGACCTCTTACTCCTCTGGTGTCCTGCTTGGCAACTGCTCAGAGTGTCTGCAGAGAAGAACAGAGAGAGATTTCCTATTTGTCCCTGCTTATATTCTGATTCTGCCCAGCTATGTCACTTCCTGCCTGGATAATCAGCCAATCAGTGTCTTATTCATTAGCCAATAAAAGATACATATAGACGAAAGGCCTCCCATCATTTTCCTTTAATATTTATGTATGTGTGATATATATGTATACATGCACACATATGTATTCACCTATGTGTGGGTACATATGTGTTCCTTTGTGTGTATGTGCTTGAGTTTGAGTTTGGAGGCCCAAAGTTGATGTTGGACATCTTCTTCCATTGCTATCTTTTATTTATTGAGGGGGGTCTCATACTGAACTTAGAACTAGTTACTCCTAGGCACTCTAGCTAGCCAGTATCTCCCAGAGATCCCAGTCTCTGCCTTCTGAGTGCTGGAATTGTAGGTGGCCACCAGGGCTGCCTGGCTCTCCATGGGTTCCAGGGTTCTAGTCTCCATGCCTCATTCTAGGTCAGCAAATGCTTTATCCACCAAACCATCTCTCTAGCCTCTCCTTTGCTTATATCACTTTGGTATCAGAAACCTGCCTATAAATGGCATCCCTGAAGAGTCCCTTATATAATGGCTTTTCTTTTTTTCTACTCTTACCACTACTGACGAGTGTTCATGCTCACTGGATATAAACATTCAGTGTACTGTCTTCCTTCAGCATGAAGTTAGGAAACTGTTTAGTGTAGATAGCTTGCCACCACTCCCTTCATGGTGGCCATTCCTGTTGTACATCTGCTTTTCCACGCCAGAGGTCGTTTTGACTACTTGAGGATTTTTTTCATTAAAAAAAATCAATTTATGGATTCTAAAGTTGATATTCTCCCCAAAACTGTGTTTAAGAGATAGTGTTGGCTGTACAAGAGGAATGTTTGGTTGCTCAGCTGACATCAATCTTAGACACAATGGGAGCTTGGCTTACTTAGCTGTCTGTTTGTTGGCTCTAAGCCAGAAATAACAGCAGCAAAAGCTCCCATTTCAAAAGTTCTAAGTACTATACTTCAGCCACTTAGAAAGAAGTGAAAGTGTGTCAGTGGTCCTCTGGATCACCAGTATCCTCTGTGTCAGAAGCCCCCCAGCATCAGCTTCTCCCCACACAGACAGGGACATAGCTGACTTTCATGTTCTGCTTCCCCCAAGACAATGAGAAGAAGGAAAAGGCGGCAGAATGAGTACACCCACATTGAGCACCCACTTCTTTTTAACTTCCTGCAGTGGAAGCAGCTGGGTTCCACATGGAACTCTGTTCTCAGTCCTCGACTCCTAGGAACAAGTTCTCCTTTTATAAGATGTTCTTTAGTGCCCTCTGCTTCTCATCTATGAAAACTCTCACAAAGTACTCAAATCCAGATCTTTGTTGCAAAGTAGCCAGGATGCTTCCCCACATCTATGGCCAGGCATCAGGATCTCATTGAGCAGACTTCATCTTCCTACACAGGCATGACTTTTACCCTGAAGATTCTAAGACTGTATTGGGATTAGGGAAGTCTGTAGGGTTGTGACCTTCCCTCTTGGTTGTTTGCCAGATAAACACAAGTTAGAGGTGAAGTTTTAGAAGCCCTGTGACCTTTCTACTCTATGATGTAGGGAAAACACTGACTTTTTTCTGACAAAATACTGGATGGGAGCATTAATATGCAAAATATGTTCCCACCCCTCATTTGATCTACAGTTTCCTTTGAGAACCATAGCTCAACTTGAAATGCAAATTTGAGAAGAAACATTTGCCCTCCCTGTGCTTAGTCAAAGGGCACTGACCTTCCATAGCTTTCTGCCTACAGTTTTCTAGTAGAACGTGAATTCTAAATTAAGGCTTCAGAATTTCATGTAAGTGCTCTTTTAGTTTTTTTTTTCTTGCTGACCCTTTAGATTTACAGTTCTTTTAAAATAATAAATAAGATGAATCTGACAGGCATTCCTTGTCAAATACGTTCAGTTTATTATTTTTGTAAAGAGTGACAAACACAAATACCTGTAGATTTAAGAAGAAAAAAATGTTTGGCTGCTGCCACCTAAGTAACCGGATAGATATGTGAAAGAGGAAGTCATGCAAGATGAATGGATGGCTCCGCCCACTGGAAGATAAAACCTCTTCCCTCCTGAACTGAAAATTCAGGAAGCTTTTCAAAATTCCTAATTGCTTCTTTTGTAGCTGAGTGAATTCATTCTGCGGCTGGCAGGGTCATATCTGCTACTTACCTTATTTAATTATCTGAATGTTTGGTTTTTACATGAAGAAATCACAAGGCAGCCCCGGGTATTGGCCTGACTCTAACCCCTTGGTATATACATGAGTTTTGAATTTGAAAAAGCTAAAGGTAGATGCTACTTCTGTGATCAATGGAGGTCAGTGGTCACTCATGGGCTCTGACCAACCTGTTCCTTCACCTTTCTCATTCTCCAGGAACAGCATTGCGGCCTCTGCTGTGTGTGTCTTCAACCTGAGTGCTATCTCACAGGCCTTCAATGGACCTTTCAAGTACCAAGAGAACTCTCGCTCAGCCTGGCTGCCTTATCCCAATCCCAACCCCAATTTTCAGGTAATCTCAGGAAGACTGCATTGTGAGTGTTCTCTATTAAGAATGTAGAAACCCAGCATAACAAGTCTGAGCAATTAAACCTTGGCTGCATGCACTGCAGCTGTAGTCTCCTGGCTCCTGGGGAGAGCACCTCCCTAGGCTTAGCTAATGTCAATAGAACACAGCCTTTTGTGGACTATGGTGCCTAGACAAGAAAAGGGGGCCTTTTGTGAGCTGTGATGAGTGATAATTAACTGAAAAAGGCCAATCTTCTGCAGTGGGCTAGGAATTCAGGCTTCAATTACTGCTAATGATGATGTACTATGTCCCCCAAATCTCTGATCCCTAATGAATGATGTCCCAATGAATAGGGCCCAGGGCACAGAGCAATGGGTCTTGACAAACAAAATTAGAGCTCTAATTGGCAAGTATGGTGAGGCTCCCTGTTGGGAAGGGTGGATTGTGGCAGTGGCTGCTGAGAAAAGAAGCCTAGCTGGTATTGATTCATCTCTCAGTCACCCAATAAGAATGGCCAAGCTGCAATGGCCTTAATGAACCATCCCAGCTCCCATGTCCAGAGCAGCAGAGATCTGGGGATGAGGCTATTTATTTCGTTTGTCTGGACAGTGGGTGTATTCATCTGCTTGGGCTACTGTAACAAAATACCATAGCTTAGAGAGACAGAGAGAGAGAGACAGAGAGAGACAGAGAGAGAGAGAGACAGAGAGACAGAGACAGAGAGAGACAGAGAGAGAACCATATTTTTTTATTTTTTTTATTCTTTTTTTTAAATTTAGATAAGAAACAAGGTTGCTTCACAAGTCAGTTCCAGGTCCCTCTCCTTTTCCCTCCCCTCCTCCCGTGCCCTCCCCCCACCCCACCCCCCGTTATCCCCTCATTCCCCCAGAGAGGGTGAAGCCCTCCATGGGGGTGTCCATAGTCTGTCATTTCATATAGGGCAGGGCCTAGACCCTTCCCCAAGAGTTCAGGGTGAGAGTGCACCTCACATTGTTCTATGGGAGTCCAAAGTCCATGTGTATACTTGGGATGGGTACTGATCTGCTGCCCAAGGCTCAATAGATTCCCTAGGCCTCCTCACTGACACCCAGATTCAGGGGGTCTTGATCAGTCCCATGCTGGATTCCCAGGCTGATGCCTGGGATTCAAGAGTTAACCTTTGTCTGGTCAGCTGTTTCTGGGGGTTCAACCAGCCCAGTCTTAATCCCTTTGATCATCAGTCCTCCCTCTCTGATACTGGCTTTCTTGAGTTCAGCTCAGTACTTAACCAGCCACTAAATGTAGTTTCTGTTTTCCAGACTCTCTGGCCATAGGATTGTAGGCTGGCACTCCCCAGATCTATGTCTAAAATCCATATATGAGAGAGTACATGCCATGTGAGAGAACCATATTTTATCACAGTTCTGTAGCCTACATCTTCAAGAGCAATATGACAGCAGGATCATTGTTCTTCTGGTGAGCTGTTGAAGATGGCCAGATTTCCTTGCTGCCTCCCTTGAAAGAAAGAAACATCCCTAGTGTTTTTTGCTCCATCCCACGGGTCAGTGTATGACTCCTATGAGGTTGAAAGCTTCCTAGGGGTCCTGTCTTCAGCTACTGCCATCCTAAGAGATTTCACATGTGAAATCTATCTCTACCAACAGAGGAAAAACCCTGATCTCACCCAACCGAGTTCCTGTTAATAGTAACCATTGATCAGTGATAGAACTGAGCCTTTCCAAATCCGGTTGGTTTATCATCCCACATCATCAAATCGAGGACTTCAAAGAAAGGGGACTTAAGAAAAAGTTTGAACTTTTTCACTTAGATTTTAGTAAGCATTGATCAATTGCAATTGAACCTGTTTTTTTTCATTTGTTCAGTATTTTTAAGACTTTCGACAGATAATGGGATTAAGTATAAGATAACTACTTTGCATGTCATATCTGGCTTTTACTGTTTTCTTTGGGTGAAGTGCTGGCATCCTCTCATGGCTTCCTTGATAGAAAGGGGAAGGAGAGATATGAATAAACTTGGATGTATCAGTGTGTTTCATCGCTGTACAGAGCGTTTGATTGGAAGGACCTTGGGAGCCATTACTCCGGAGTCTTCTGTGTCCTCCATGTTGAGTAATTGTATATATTTTGACTGTTTTTCTTCCTTTTCATATAAAGAAGAAATATATTGTCCCTTTATAAAAGGTGTTTAGGTCCTGAAGCACTGAAAAACAAAGGTGCTTATATTTATAACACCCTCCATTGCATTATAGTGTTGGATTGCAGCTCTTCACAATAAACTGAGTGAGTCAGGCAGCTTCATAATCCTTTACATACTTCAGACAATGTGTATCTTAGCCTATGCATCTAGATACATCTATAACATAGCAAGTCCCCTCATGTCCCAGTGTCACAATGCCCACATCACCGTGAGTGGATTGCTTTCTTCTATTGATAGAATAAATCCTTGATGAATAGTGAAGGAAGCATGTGTAGAGGTAGGTGGTACACATGCCAGGCAAGAAGCTAGCTCAACTGACATCATCCCCTGGGCATAGTTTTAAAACTTCCAGCAAACTGAAGTTATAATTCTGGTGGTGGTGGTGGTGGTGAGGTGTGTGTGTGTGTGTGTGTGTGTGTGTGTGTGTGTGTGTGTGTGTGTGTGTCCCCATCTCCTACTATAGATAGATAGGTTTTGATTTCTAGATTGTGCTCCATAGGCCCATTGTCATGGGTGCCTGACTGATATTCTAGCTCTCACCTAGACTGGCAGAGAATGCGAGCTCATTTTGTACCAAAGATCCCTACATTAGACGTATGTAAGTGTCCCAACACTGACAATAACCAATGGTAATATTTATATTTATTATTGCTAACATTATTGTTGTTTTCCATTTTGGTATTCCTCTTGACAATTAGCATTTATGTAGCACATGTACAATAGGAAAACGAAACTAACTGCAGTCACTGATTCAAGTCGAGAAATACATCATATGTGGAAATCCCTGTGAAAACCCACAAAACAACCCCCAGTCTCCACACCCTCAGTGCTATTTGTCTGCCCTGATAGAGGCAGGAGATCTTGAGCCCCGTAAGATCTTCAGCCACTTAAAACACAGTAGATGCTGCAGCAGAACAGCTGGGTGACAGGCTCCAAAAGTTTTTACAAGTTTTATTATCAACAATCAGACATGATGCAGCCAAAATGGAAACATGCGAGTGCAGGAGCAGTCAGGTAAGAAGACTGCTTGGGAAATGCAGGCTGAAATGTAGCTGCATCCTGAGGGTCCGTGAATACACGCTTGTATTGCAGCAAGCTGTGTAGGAGCAGGGGAACCAGTGTGCAGAAACACCATGGAAGACAGGTAATAAAGGGTAGAGTTAGCCCATTTTAAGCTTGTCCGCTAAGTGCTGCTGTGCTGGAATGGGGATCGATGGACTGTGCTTGAAACAGATAATACACAAGCATTTATTATTTTCCTAACAACTAATAGAATTACTGATCTTGTTTGAACATGCGTTGGCATGACAGTTATTGAAGGCTGTAAGCCCTATGAGGACACAAGCTATGCTTTTTCTATTTTTGTGGTTTCTTCTTGTACATGGTCCCCAGGGTAGCACAGAATCTGACAGTAACTAAGGGAGACCAGAGTATGTAGAAGGTTCATCTAGAGAAGTTACAGCCCTTAGGGAGCTTAGTGAGCTGCTATTCTGCAAGAAATACATCCAGTAAATCTGAATAGTTTTCAAAATACTGGAAACAGAATCCTTGGGTGAGATATTCATTATAGGATGGCAAAAGGAAAGAATGGTGGAAAACACTTCAAATACAGTTCCTGACAATACAGACAGACAACATACAGGAAGCATGGCCTGTTGTGTATAGTAAAAAAGATTGTCTATCCTACCACTCTAAGTGCCCCCTGGGTCACCTATATCTGTTTTTAAGGGCAGCAGGAGGTCATTGCCTTGAGAGTATACCTCCAGGTTTTCAGCATATATACACAGTAGCTTTAGGCAATTGAAGTCAGCAAGTAGGTCATTGTCTCCACCCATCCCTCAAGTGTTGCCTTTGATGTCAGTACAAGTTGACCACCACACACAGTCATCTTCAGAACTAGCACCTGCCTGGAGAGGTTTCAGACCAAGCCCAGGTAATCATCTTTCTTACTTTTAAAAAATGTTCCTAGAGGTGTGGAGAGATGGCTCAGTTGTTAAGAACCCACACTGCCTTATAAAGGACCCAAGTTTGATTGTCAGAAGCCCTGTCAAGTAGCTAACACCCATCTGCCCATTTGTATCTCCAGCTTCAGTGGGGATCTGACATCTCTGACCTCTCTGGGCTCCTGCACTAATACACACACACATACACACACACACACACACACACACACATGCACACACACACACAATTAAAGGTAATAACAATTAAAATATTAAAAAAATTAAAAAACAAAACCCCATATTCCAGGTAAGCAATGTGTCTATGCTTAGAGTATTATTATTAAATACTATTTATATAAAAATCCATTGGTACAGTCTTCCCAGACCCCAAACAACTACATGTAGAATTACTTGCTCATTTTTTCTGTCCCATTATTTATCCTCTTATTTCCCACTGGACACCAAAGCTCCACAGACCATGAACATCCTGCCTGCTTTTAGAAAAACGCATTTGCAATCTGGATAGCTTGTGCACTATCAGGAATGTTGTCTTATTCCTGGCATTTACAAGGACTTAATTTATGAATGTTTTGCTTCCACTCATTACTTCAGTCTTCACATCAGGAGACAGGAGACGGGAGCAGAGCTGGTGTGTTGCAACCCTTTAGCATTTGAGGAGACAAGCTGAGAGGCCGGGCCTCCCTTGAGGGCACAGGTCATCTGCTGCAGGCCCTACATAACCATGAACACTTCCTTTACATGATGTCCAGCTGCTTCTAACTCAAATGTAACATTAAATTAATCACCAGGCTAGTTGAGTGCAGTCCATTTAACACCAGGTTTCTCTAACTCCACAATCGGCCTATCAGTTTATGGCATATAGGGTATTTTATCAAATGCTACAAAAACATAATTTACTTTCAAAAAAGCAATTTCTACCTTATACTCTGGACCTCTAACCTGTTATAAAAACCAAGTATTGGGAGTGACATGTTGTAAATGGTCGTTTCAGGCCGTGTGGACCCCATCAACTCTGCTTATATGAAGTGCTGCTAAGAAGCCTCACTTCTTGTACCAGACTTAAGGTTTATAAAGGAACTGAGAAAGGCCGTGGCAGTTTTCTGATTCTGAGCTAGACTCTGAGAATGCCGTGCTGTCTTTCCCACCTGCCCTCTTACCTGTCAGCCTCCTTCCAGCACAACTCAGGGATCAAATCCAAAACTTTCTGACCTGCCCTTTCTGCTGTGTGTACCGGATCATCTTCATGATATTTTCCCTCCCTGCAGACTATTCCCTCTTTCCTCTTTCTCCATTTCCCCTTCTCTCCACCTTTCTCACCCCTTTTGTCCTCACTGCTTATATCTTCTTCTCCCATTACCAACTTACCATCTTGTATTGCAAATTCTCAGGCTCTAACCTAGCCCTTTAAACTCTCCTCTAACAGGAAATTCAAATACATTTAGACAAGTCACACTGTTTGTGTAGCCCATGTGACTGATACTGTTTACAGATTAAGATAAATACCAGAGCATTGCCATGGAGCTCACGGTTGCTTATGAGCCCACTGTGATAGCAAGAAAATACACACATCTATATGTGCTCACCAGCTTCATATTCAATGTCAGTTCCCCTCCCCCACCAGATATTATTGTATCGCAATTCTATGGACATCTCCCAAGAGACTCGACAGACCATGAAGAGATTCTCTGCACCCGCTGTTCAAATTAGAGTCAACAACTGTGCCTACTCCATTTTAGAATGTCTCATATTCTCTTTGCCATCCACTGAGAAATTCCAAATGTGATGAGTTTCCATCTATAGTGGGAGAACAGGAGAGATGAGAAGGTCAAGGGAGATTGACTTGCACACTCCCTCAAGCATCATGGCTTACTCTGTCTTTTAGCTTGTCTGTCTACCTCTCTATCTGGTAGGCACATGAACTGTGAGCATCTGGGTAGCCAGCTTTTGTAACATGGCCTGTCTTCCCTTACAGTGTGGCACCGTGGACCAGGGCCTGTATGTAAACCTGACAGAAAGAAACCTACAGGACGCTCAGAAGTTCATTCTGATGCATGAGGTGGTACAGCCAGTGACCACGGTGCCCTCCTTCATGGAGGACAACAGCCGCTTCTCCCATGTGGCCGTCGACGTGGTGCAGGGCAGGGACACACTCGTCCACATCATCTATCTGGCCACAGGTAGGAACTCTTAATGCCATCTTCTCATTCCATGTCTTAAAGTCCAACACTCACCTTCAAGCACAGTCATGTGTCTGTACTCTGTCACAAGCAGAACCCATGATGTATGCTTATTCTTGTCAACCTATGTAAGTCCTCTCAGAAATCTTACTTTCATTCTTTCTGTGCTGCTAGAATTTTAACTAGAGAGGCAATTCTTTCTTAGCTGTTCTTTCTCTCCAATGGTTCTTGGCATGACCATCTATCTATATTTGGCTAATTTAAGACAACAGAAGTTTTGTTAGAAGATACTGACGGATGAAATGTTTTCCAGAGATTTTCATGCTGATTTCTGATTGGTGCACAGCAGTGCTCCTAGCCAGCTAGCTGTTCCTGACAAAGGTCCGTGGGAACATTTGAGGAACAGAGCATACACAGCACAGCATTTCATATGTAGGGTAAGCCACGGTGCTTATCAAACTGTAGATAACTAGGAGACTTCTTCAGAGTTTAAAGTAAGTGAGAAATAGCAACACGCTCTCACTCACTGCGTGACTCTGACAGTGCAGGGTGTGCAGCCCTGCCTCAGGGGCTGTCTCAGCTCCACCTGCCTAGCCCAGACAGCGTAACTTCACTGTGGAATGGGTGCCTCCGATTCTTTGTATAGCATGAGGTATACTTGGCAATTCCTCACAAATCGTGGTTACCTTTTTATGTGGTTATGAATACTGTATCATTCCTTTGCAGGATTTCTCAATTTGCAATTGTGCATTTATCACTTGGTTTATTGTATTCATGAAATTGTAATGACTCATTGTTTTCCCAATGTCTGTTGAATTAATTTGGCACACTGGGGGTACATAGAGAGCAGCCTGCTCTCTCAGGGCTCACATTCTTAAAGGGACAAGCAGGTAAGTAAAATGCATCACCAAAAAATGATGAAGAGTCAATGAGATGGGTGTGGTGATGGATATTCCTTAAAGGCTCCTGTTTCTTGGGGAGACAGTGTCCCCCAGTGCCAGAAGCATTACATGCTGCACACTTTAGGGAGAAACTGTGAACACTGGGAGATGTAGAGTTGGTTAGCAAGGATCAGTCCTGCTAACGCAAAGAGAGATGCTACCATTGGATGGGGACATGGATAGGTAGAGGCCAGTCGAAGGAAGACTGGGGGGTAGCAGAGGGATCTTAAGGAGAAAGTCATGTGACATAACTGCTAGGAGCAGCAGTTTGCAGAACTGACTCAGAAGAGGGTGACTGATAAGGTTCCCAGTTTTCATGGGAAGTCAAGAAGAATTCTTTTCTTCTTGATGTTCGTTTTAAGAGAGTAAAAGAAATTCCTTGTCACTGAGGGATTATATTTCCTTATGGTGTTGTTTGTCATTAAAAACAGAAAACTTCCTGACACATGGTAGATGTGCAGAGCAAGTGGGCTGGGTCTTCCCAAAGGTGTTCCTAGTTTCTTCATCATAAAGCTTCAGGATAATGTGACATAGGGGAATTTTCTCCTTGGACTTCTAGAGACAGCTGAGGTCCTCATCTGACCCTGAGGTAGGGGATGCTGAAGGGTGGAGCCTCCTGTCCTCTTCCCCCGAGAGGAAGCGATTCTGACCTATTCTCTTTCTTTACCTTCGATATGGTCATCTGTGAGCTCTGTCGACAACTCGAAAGAATCCCACTGTGATTGTGATGGGTGCCTCCATCATTTCAGATTGTTGGTTGGAGCAGGGAACCACTGACAGGGGAGGGCAAATGTCAGGAACCCTTAGTTCCTAGTTCTTGAGGCTGGGTCTCAGCTGGATGATGTCCAGGAAGAGCTCTCTTCCTAGTTCATAGATGGTCACTTGTTTGTGCCATCCTTGAGAGAGAGAGAGAGAGAGAGAGAGAGAGAGAGAGAGAGAGAGAGAGAGAGAGAGAGTTCTGTGTTGTGACTATTTATTTGAATGTTTTGAAAAATAGTCTGGATATATCAATATCCTCAAACTCTCTGGATAGCTTCACTTGACCACAAACTTGTGATCCTCCTGCCTCAGCTTCCCAGAGTCCAGGATGTATCTTTTTGTAAAAAGAGCAATGGTTTGATTATGAAAGTTTCACCCTTATGAATTGATTACTTTGAGAGGCTCTACTTGCTAATGTCATCACTTTAGGGTTGAGACTATCAACATGAATTCAGGTGGCACAGAGAACTCCCTCCCTATAGGAGTATAATATTTAAGGATCTTTATTACAAATAACATCTTTGAACAACAATGAAAATAGTCCAAATGGTGAAATTACAGGGATGAAACCATAACCAGCATCACTTGGTTATTAAACACTTTTAAATGGGTTTAAAAGTAGTTGGTACTGCTTCTAGAAGTTTTCACACAGAAGTCTAATTTGAATGATTTCCTGGTTTTGCTACTCCCAGCCCTCACCACCCCCATGTCATAAATGTACCTCATTTAATTGCATTTTAACTTTACACCCACAGATAGATTATCTTTGGCGGTACTGCTTTGAATGAGTCTACCTGTGAATCTGTTCTCACAGTTCATATGATTAACAGCATTGTATTAAGTTTTAATTAAGCTTGTGCATTTTTAAGACAAGTACTGTTGTACCCTTATCAGACTATGGTGCAATACAAGTCTATGAGTTGCTGTATTGTGGCATTCCTTATTGAATTGTCTGGACTCAAACCCATAATATCTCGCAGGGCTTTGCATGTTAGCGTTAGCTTAGTCTTGTGGGCTGCAGAAAAGCCCAGGCTTTGACTCTGTGCCTAGGTGTAGTCCTCTGTACCAAACGAGTCACACCGTGATGACCTTTTTGTTCTACTGACCTAACATTTTGTTTCCGTTTAATCTGTTGCTATTTAAATGCCCAGTCCTCATGTGTAACCAAGTTGTTCTATTTGCAATCACAGGTCCTGTTGGTAGATGAAGGTACCATTATCTGTAACTGACCTTAGAGAGTGTCCATTGCACAGTAGTTAAGTTGCTTCTCTCAGAAGGAGTTTTCAATGGCTGAAGACCCTTTACAGTAAGAAGCCAGGCTGAAATGATGGGATCCTGTAGAGAGTCCTGCTCTAAGCCTGGCACACAACTCAGACATGAGCATAGAGCATTCCAGTAAAAGTTAAAGGTCTGTTTAGATTAGCTTGACAAGTTTAGCTTTGGAACTTCTATGAATTGCAAAGATGTTCCATTAACCCCTGGGAAGGCTTGTTAACTCTTACAGTATGCCCATGTATTTTCAAAATTTTTAATTCAAATAAAAATTAATTTAATATTCCAGTGTGCTATTACTCTTATTTCTATGGTAATGCAGTGTATAAATGAATTATGAGAAATACCATTTTAAAAAGCAAGCTGCAGGTTGCCTTTAACTAATGCTGCACAGATATAGCTGACTCCTGATAGTCTGAAATGTAAGGAACAGTGATTTTGACTTTCCTGGTTCACCAGGCTGATGCATATCTCGTGTCTTGTTTATGCCTTGCCCATGTGTGAAGACAAGGACACTCTTCCCCTTACTTCACCATGACCGCAGATTCTCAAGGGCAGAGCATGGCGACTCCACTCACAGTAGCGGAGCTGATGCCGAGTTCCTCCTTCACGTGAGAACAGACTCTGATTGGTGGAAGTTCATATTTGCGAATAGACCACTTGCTGGAAGTGGCCACTTGAGAAGCTGGCTCATTTCACCCCATCATGCTATCCACAGAGATCCACCGAGTTTCCTGATGCTGAGTAGTACATCGCACATGCCATTTCCCCGCTGCCTGCCTCCCACCTCAGGCTCCTTCATAGTCTGTTTCTTGTGTCTTCATCTCTTCCTTCTTTGTCTCAGCCAAAGTGAAGCCTGACTGGATGGCAAGCTGCTTCCTTGAGGTGGCCTGAGTTGGAGCTGGGGTATATTTCTGATGGCAGATCCTTTAGATCATTTGTGACAGGACTCTCTAACTGGCTAAATCTTGAATATATCAGGCTCCAAGTCCAGTTGAACATTGTATTCTAGCAACTCCCCCTCCTGGGTACAGTAATCAGGAATCCCCTCCTCCCCTGGGTACAGTAGTCTGGAATCCCCTCCCCTCCTGGGTACAGTAGTCTGGAATCCTCTCCTCCCCTGGATACAGTAGTCTGGAATCCCCTCCCCTCCTGGGTACAGTAGTCTGGAATCCCCTCCTCCCCTGGATACAGTAGTCTGGAATCCCCTCCCCTCCTGGATACAGTAGTCTGGAATCCCCTCCTCCCCTGGATACAGTAGTCTGGAATCCCCTCCCCTCCTGGATACAGTAGTCTGGAATCCCCTCCCCTCCTGGGTACAGTAGTCTGGAATCCCCTCCTCCCCTGGGTGCAATAGTCTGGAATCCCCTCCTCCCTTGGGTACAGTAGTCTGGAGTCCCCTCCTCCCTTGGGTACAGTAGTCTGGAATCCCCTCCCCTCCTGGGTACAGTAGTCTGGAATCCCCTCCTCCCTTGGGTACAGTAGTCTAGCATACCCTCCCCCCTGGGTACAGTAGTCTGGAATCTCCTCCCCCCTGGGTACAGTAGTCTGGAATCTCCTCCTCCCCTGGGTACATAGTAGTCTGGAGTCCCCTTCCTTCCTGGGTACAGTAGTCTGAGTCTCCTTCCCCCTGGATGCAGTCGTCTGGAATCCCCTCCTCCCTGGCGTCCAGCACCCCACACATCCTGACATGACTCAACTATTTGAAGGCACTTTGCAGACCTCACTAGTCTCCTTTGTCTCATGCTGATCTGGTGCTCAGCTTCAGCCTTGGCCTATGGGTATTCTTTTTGGGGGAGGGGGATCGATTTTTTTATTTTAAAATTTAAATTAGAAACAATGTTGCTTCATATGTCAATCCCAGGTCCCTCTCCCTCTTCCTTGCCTACTCCCACACTGTCCCACCAATCCCCTCCATACCCCCTCCCCTAATCCCCACTCCTTTCCCCAGGCAGGGTGAGGCCCTCAATGGAGGCTCTCCATAGTCTGTCATTTCATCCAGGGCAGGGCCAAGGCCCTCCCCCAAGA